AGTCCGAGGCTGAGGCTGCCCCCTGCCTGCCCTAGAAGCAGCAAGGAGGGTCGGAGCTGGAGGAACTCATGAGCAAGTTTCATTCCAAGAACCAGAAGAGGCTGGAGGGCGACAGCTAGGCCTGGCTGGGAGCACCCGCTGCGGGCGGGCACGGCCCCCACCCGTGCGTGGAGTATTATTTTTGTATGTGTATGTATGTGGTACCATGGACACAGAGGGCGTGCGCTGCTGGCGGGGCCTGCACCTGGCGGGGCCAGCTCACCTGCCTCCTGCCCATGGCCTGTCCTTGGGCTCAGCAACGCCCCGCCACACGCAGCCCTGCCCAAGGCCCACCTCAGCCAAACTTGCCGCCTGGAGGTGCCAGCCCTCCCAGCTCTCCCCACACCTCCCCCCGAGGCACAGAAGCCCCCTCGCCTCTGGCCTCCTCCATCCACAGGGGTCCCTGGGACTGGGACTCTGCCCCGTCCCACTCCCATGACTGCTCCACAACCCCACTGCCCACACCCCCACTGCCCACACCCCCACCCCATCCCTGAAGCAGAGCCCAAGAAAGGAACTTCTCCGGCCAGTCTCGGGCCAGCCTCGCCCTGCGTGCTGTACAGGGGCCTGGAGGCCTGAGCCCTGGGCTCTGCAGACCACACCCCAGCCCCCCCCCCCCACCGCTGGCTGTGGGCCAGAAGGGCAGCCACCCAGCCACCCTGCCGGCCCCAGATAGTGCCCACAGCGCCCACCTGTGCTCTGCTCCCGGGTGGCTGGGGGGTGGTGGTGGTGGTGCTGTACTCCCTGCACCTTTTCAAGAAGCAGGTGTGGACTGGACTCACCCAAGCACTGGCCTTGGACATCCCACCTGCCCCCACTGCCCGCACCCCCACTGCCCACACCCCCACTGCCCACACCCCCACCCCATCCCTGAAGCAGAGCCCAAGAAAGGAACTTCTCCGGCCAGTCTCGGGCCAGCCTCGCCCTGCGTGCTGTACAGGGGCCTGGAGGCCTGAGCCCTGGGCTCTGCAGACCACACCCCAGAACTGAGAGCCACACTCCGAGGCCCTGACATTAAACCGGTTTTCTCCTCGAGGCCCCGCGTCTGTCTCCTGGAGGTGGGGGGTCGCTGTGGGTCAGGGTGCGTGAAGTTGCACCTTCGTAAGAGCCAGCGGGCAGGGGCAGGCTGTGGCCAGGCGGGCCATGGAGGCCCCAAATCAGGCCGCTCACCCTGACCCTGGTGGGGAGCCCTGGGAGCCCCTCCCCTGCACACTATCCAAGAGGGGCCCGGGGGACACGCCTGGGAGGTGAGAGGTTGAGAGGGGCCCTGCCCAGAGGCCTGAAGACTGTCACCCAAGACCAGTGCGAGCGGTGGGGTTGCCAGAGCTCAGGTGGGTGGGGAGGGCGGGGGCGTGAGTCAGAGGAGCCAGGAAGCTGAGCTGAGGGTGCGGTGGGGGTAGGGGAGGGAGGGGCTGAAGGTGGGGCAGCCGGGATAGCGTCCGTGCAGAGGGCTGCACTCTGCCCCGCGAGGCTCCTGAC